TAACCTAACCTAACCTAACCTCTTATAACAGGCGACTCGATATAACTACAAAGATGTGTATAGGCGCGTTGGAAAGGTGAGATTCTTCATATGAGTGGTCTATGATTTAATTACGTTTAGGGGTTGTCGAGAAATTCACGACAAACCGAAAACACTCAAAATAAAACGAGAAAACCGTCCTTTCTCTGTTACGTATTCAAAGTAAATTACAGGAAATCGGCAATAGTTACCCGGATGGCACGTTGGAAAGCCCAAACATTTAGCTTTAATTAGCGAGCTCATTCAAAATTGTGTCGCGCATAATCATTTAGAAAATTGATGATTTGTGAAGACACTTGATCTTCTCAAGCTTAATTTTGTCGCGTATAGATACTTAGAAAGTTTATGATTTAAAAAACCGATTTTTCAACGTTGGAAAGCTCAAAGTTAAGAAATGGCAGAGTTATATGGTTTTTTTTTCTTCTTCATAACAATCAATGAATATCGAAAAGAAGAAAGTAATACGATTTAAATTCGAAAATATTTATTAATAATGAAAGGCACATAAAATTAATACATATCTGCTATGTATGCAAATAATCTCTCGTTGAACACATGTGTGTGTGTGTGTGTTATTTTTTTCTGTATGTTGAGATTCTAGATCGGCAGATGAGTGAAAGGCAGAAGAGGCCAATTTTCTTAATGCTATTAATGATTAGAATTCGTCGTGCCTGGCGAGGGCTTCTCCAAAGTCGGTGGCCTGCGATCCGACAAACAGGTCGTATTTATTGAGAATTTCATCCTTGGTAAGTTGCTGGTCGGCGTCGGCATCAGCCTCATAGATGAGATGCCTGGACTCGGCCTCGGCATGATCGAAATCCTGCGGAAGGATCCATGTCTTCACCTCTTCCTGATCCATGAAACCGTCGCCGTTCTTGTCACGGTACGCCTTGAACTGTTCCCTTTCGTTCTTCACCCATTCGGGTTCGTTTTCCTCCTGCTGTTGTTGATCGTCATCACCGTCGTGTCTGTACATGTCACCGATGTATTCGGCCAGCGATATCCTACCGTCACCATCCTTATCAATGTCCTCCATCGTCTCCAGGACAATGATGTCCTTCATCAGATCGCTATCCTCTGGATGCAGGAATACGACAAATTCTTGCTTTGTCAGAGCGTCGTCCGCATCGGAATCGGCGGCCGCCCAACGTCTCCTTTCGCGCTTTATCATCGACTTGTAGGACATGCCCTCCTCGTCGCGCTCCACGTCCGCCGGGTCCATGTGATCGAGAAAACCGTACACCATCTTCTTATATTCATCCCATGTAATCGTCTCCTTTTCATCGGGATTCTGTTGTATCCATTGTCTCTCTACATCTTCCATGATGTAACGCTTTTGCGTGAATCGTATCCAGTCCTTTAGTTCTTCGTGCGATATAAAATTATCGCCGTTGCTATCTATTTTATCCACGATTAAACTGAATGACAAAATAAAAATATATTGAATTATTTTCAGTAATATAATGTGCAATGATCAAGTAATTAACAAATGAAATGTACTTAAACAGATTAAAATATATGTCTCAATAAGCTTCGGAAGTAAATTGACAAACGTGTCGTTAATACGTTTACGACGGCGCTCTGTAGGATTTGAATTTCTAAAATATTTGTGTGCTGTATCGCTCAAATTAAGTGCGAGTGCGTGTTACACTCATTAAAGCTGAGCCATGTGTTTGTACCATGTGTGTCATACAAATTGGTTCACCAATAATAGAATCTCCTTTAAAATCAATCTAATAAGCAGATGTGCAGAGCTGCGCAGTTCCACAGAACAATAATTGGTGATTGAGATTGATGTTGGCTCTTACCTCAACCTTCTGCGACTCTCCTCCGGGGGCAGCTGATCAAAAGTTTTGGCATCTTCACCAAGGAATGCCTCATGATCATACTGAGTATTATGATGCTCTGCATTGTAGTGGTCCTTTCCACTGAGCTCCCTATCCACCACACGTTGAGGTTTCTCATCAGGCTTGGGAACAGCAGAAACTGATAAGCACATGAACAATAAGCCTCCGACCAGTATACTGGACTGCATTTTATGCATCTTCTAAATTTTCAGCCTGAATGAAGAGAATAGTCAAGAAATTAGTGATAATTCAGGAATGCATTAAATGAAAAATTGCGTCGCCCACCGACATTTCAATCGGTGTTAGTCAGACTTAATGAGAACCACACCACATTAACAATGATGGATAAGATTCGTTCTTTAAAATTTTAATCTTGCTAACCTACGAAATGTTAATGTTAATTTGATGATCTCTATGCTCACCCTTATTATAAATTAATGAACAATTTGTAGGCGGCAACAACAGCGTCGTCGATCGGCGTCTTCACATCCAACTCATCAAAAAAATAATAGATCTCTTCACCTACCGCTCGCTGCAACTGTACTGAACTGTATTTAATGATACTGACTTAGTTACTGTACGTACATAAACATACATAACGCACACCACTGCAACCACTACCGAAAAATGGTGGGAGGGTGGATGTTTGTGGGCGGTGGTGGATGAGTAAATGAAACGAAATGAGTGTAATTAGTGAAATCAAATAATAATAACATTTTAAGACAACACTCTCTGGTGGATGTTGCCGAAAGCTGAAAACATTTTATTATGTTCAAACAGGACCGTTCCAGATGATTCCAGAGGCTTCCACAGAATTATTTCGTAACGGCGATTAGCGACGATATAGAAATAGAACACGATTAAATCCTTCATATAATATCGAACAAGATAACACGAACGTTACGTTCCACATCCGGATATTTTGTAAACACAGTTCTCTTGTTTAAATCAAAATAAATATGATGTGTACATCCACCGTCCGTTGTGGCCGTTTTCTTTATTTCAATAAAATTATTTTACTGTTTTTGCACATGGCTTTATTTTTCTTATAAAGAAACATTCAACATTCTGCACCACATAGTATTCATTTAAATTTACATCGAATTTGTATACACATAATAATATGTCTCTGGTTTAAAACCTTAATAATTTCATATATTTCCCTTATGTGACTTACCTAATCTTACAGTAAGTAATAAGAGCTATATTTTCAAACAAGTGAACTGATTCCATTTGATTCTACACATTGAAATAAAACTTGCAAGTAATGTATGTGTTTGGGCTTAGTACACATGAGCAGGTAAAAAATGGTAGAATAATTCAGTGATGATATACAATGTAATACATAATTTATTAAACAAAATTTAGGAAGTAGAAAAATAAAAATATTAAAGAAAAAAAAGTTACATTTTCGCTTGTTTGTTCTGTCTGTTTCTCTCTCTCTCTCTCTCTCTCTCTGTCTCCCTTTCTCTTCATTCTTCTTCATGTTCTTACTCTTCATTACGATTAAATTAAATATATTGTAGAACTATAATAATAATAATAATAATACTATAATAATAATATGTATATTACAGAAAAGACCTAACACTTAGGAAAAGACTTGTAAAACAACCAATCATTTATAAAATGACATCTATACACCGTCGTTTCTATCGCATATCGCATACACATATATATATATACACAATTTAAATAAACAGTACGAGTAGTAGAAGCAGTAATATTAGTAGTAGTATTATAATTATGTACGCGATTTAAGAGTTGCGGAGAGGAAAAATGAACAGAGAATGTAGTAGGTGCCGTTGCCGTGCCGTGCCGTCTCTATATGCATACTAAATGATCAATGAATATTGAACGCAACGATGACGACATGACGACGATGCGATTCATCAATTGATCAATAGCTTCCCCTCCATGATCTCCACGACCATTTTTCTCCGCAGATACTGCATGTCTTCCTGACTAAATGTGAACTGTGCGTTGCGACTTAGAAACTCGGCGTAGGTGCAGGAGAACATGCCGCAATCGCTACCGTTCATCTGCTGCGGAATATCTCGCACGCATCTCAGCTTCCAGCCGGACGCGTCGAACTCGCACTTCTTCTTGTCGAGATGCTCCTCCTGCAGATACCTAAGCAAAGCATCCGTGCATTGGTGGTTGGGCTTACCCATGCTGTCATAATAGCCGATAAACTTTGACCGGAAATCGATGACGGCCATGCACCAGTGCATGCTCATGTGGATGGGAACGCAGATCAGGTCGTGCGAGAAGACGTCGACCTTCCGCGTCCAGCGGCGAATGGAGGAGTGGCCGTCTTTAAGTAGCTTCGGGTAGAAGAAGGTATTGAATGCGAACGCGCTGGGGAACTTGCCAATTTTGCCCCGTTGGATGATGAGGTTCATGTAGAAGTTGATCACCTCGTCGTTCAGCCAATTAAGTCCGCTCAACGTCATCATGTCGCGACGTGATATGTTGAGGCTAAACTTGCTCGCGAGCACCGCGTCCATGTTCTTGCTTCGATTAAGAGCGGCGCTGACCTTCGCTTCCTGCTCCTCCGTCAGCTGCGGCAGCTTCGTCGTCGGCTCCTCGACAGGCAGCACGATCTCTTTGATATGAAGACATTTCTGCACCTGCGTCTCCAGCAGCTTGGCTCTGCACTCATTGTTGATTCTCTGGATCTCATCTAGTCTGCTTTTCCTCAGCTCGATCTCCTTCTGCCGCTTGGCGATCTCCTCGGCATGTTTCTTTATTCTAGAAAAAGAAAAACAACAAATCTCTCTGTAAATCTTCTATCTTTTACATGTCTTGGATGACAGCGTCAGCCGCCAGTGTGCCAATGGATGAAATGACGACTTACATATGGTGTGCAAGGGGAAAAAACAAATATACTAATAATTTGGCGAGCACTGTAATCGTTTGTCCCATATTGCCCAAGATTTCGCACACTAAATTTGACACAAGCCTGTCGATGCCATCCAAAATAATCGACGAAATAAAACATTTCGTTAGGTTCGTAATCATCCTTTTCTAGGTTAGGTAAAATACTCTTTATTACAGTGGCTCTGAACCAGGGATGGTGGGTTTTTGTATTGCAAATTTTTATATTTGCGAATTATTATCAACACTACTACTACTACTATTGCTGCTGGACATTAATTTTACTTGGCAGCAGCAGAATCAATAAAATCATATTTATATTGAGTAAACTTGCTGAGAACAGGGAGTAGCCAAAACATATGTTCAAGTGACAGATGTTACAAAGACAACATAATTTGTAAAGAAAAATGGAACTTACATGTTTGTAATCCAGTCAGAATGTTGCGGTTCATGTGGATGAACTGTAGTCCTAAGGCTGTTAACCCTATCAACTTTGATGTCTGGCTTTGGTGAAGGTGGAGAGGGTACGATCTCAACATCTGAATCACAGTCTTCAATAGCAATCACCTCAGAATCAAGATCATCTAGTACTTTAATTATGGTATCCTTGGTGGACAGTTTGGGCTTGGATGATTCCCCATTGGTTAGATCTTCTATAGGAAGGAGACTCTTGGTGGCCAACTTCAGAATTTCCCTGGTCCTCATCTTGGGAGAAATTTTACCTACGGGCGTGCCATATATTGAGCTCACATCAAGTAGAGATGAACGGGACTTATTCAGCAGCTCTTCATATTTCTTCTTCTCATCCAATCGGAAACCAAAGTCGAGAGGGAATATTTTCTTGCTGAATGATTGAGTATTTGAGTGCATCTGCTTCTTCATGTTGTTAATTAGTGGAGAATCCTTCGCTTTGAATGATTTGTTATTATAGATAGATTGTTTTTTAATGGGCCTCTTTATGGAATCTCTGAATTTCTTGAATTTTATGTCATCTATGCCATTTTCTTTGAACAGTGAAACGTTGGGAGTAGATGTCAATTTCAATGATTTACTCATTTTATCATTACTCTCATCATTAGCCACAATATCTTCATCATCTATCTCATCAACATCATCATTTATGACTATTGTTTTAAGGTTAGAGGTGGAAGAGAACTTCTTCCAGCTGGTTGTTAGGCCCAAGTCAGTAGGTTCCATCAAGTTTATGCAAGTATCACTAGTCAATGAGGGCTCGCACAACCATTTATCTGAAATTTTTTATTGGTTAGAAGAAATACATTGAAATATATTGTCTCATTATCAAATTACCCTCTGGATTCCTGTGCACTTTTTTATGCTTTATGTTGTTTGGAAATTCTAGGACATCAGATGCACTGCAAATTGACACATTTACATTTGAGTTACAATTGAAAGCAATGTTTATGTAATGCATACCTGCGTTTTCGACTAGGGGCGCCAGCCGTTAGTAGAGATCTAATGTACTGCAGAAATTCCATGGTTTTTGGTTATGATCGAATTCATGTGCGAAACGAACGTTTATACATATATATATATATATCTGTATGTATATATAAATGTATGGGTGTACTTGTTTTGCCGGTACGAGTCGTCTTGGAACGCTGTTGTTGCTGCCGATTTACACTGTTTTTGAAATTACTTGAATTTTTTTGAAATATCCTTTCCGATTCTACACCTTTCCACGTTAATCCTTTTGCACCCACCAATGAACAATAACCGAACGAAAACAATTGTCAGCCGAAGATGATTATCTGTAATTACTCCAATGGTCACAGGAGAACGCAATTGCCGCCATTTTAGCCGAAACAATTGCAACCACTGCTTCTGCAACCTCTTCTACACTCTTTTATTCTGATCTACTGTTTTAACAATTTGACGTTTCTAGTTTAGAAATACCGACTGAAATCTGTCACATTTATATATATATATATATATATTTGTTCTTATATACTACCATACAATTTGTACCTTCGATTCGAATATAGATATATAAAGAAAATTTCTGGTAGTTCAAATGTTTCGATTGGTTCCGAAAATAATTAAACGGCAATATATGTTGGCTGCTCTGTAAAACGGTGTTTTCCAAACTTTCCATTTTTATTAAAAAATCTGATACGAAAGGTCGTTGGTTCGATTTGCAAAAAACCAACAAAAATTTGTGGTGGCTGTTAAACCCGAAAGGGATATATAAATAGATATAAATCTCTTTCAAAAACAAAAAAAAAATATATTTAAAGTTATTTCTATGGAAACAAAATTAACGCTATGGAACACTATGTTGAACAAACAAAAGTATATTAGGATTTGTGTAATGTTTTTTTTTTGGTTTTATGAAATTGAAGGCAAAAGAAACGAGGACTTTTATTTCGTTTATTTTTTGTGTACAAATTATACAAAATACTGATTGAAGCATGTATTTTTGCACATTATAATTACAATAATAGAATAAATACGCTTTAAATAAATATATTAATCTTAAATCAAAGAGTGCAGTAATGTTTTTTTTTTTGGCAGATTTTCATCCAATAGAATAATAGTAATAAGAAGAAGAATTATAGATTTTTCCTGAAAGAGCAGCAATATAAACTTTTGAAAACGCTCACTGCTTGATGGTTTTTAGGAATGTTTACTAACACGATAGAAAACTTCACTTATTTCCTTCTCCTCCTACATTTCTCATACTCTTTGTCTCCCTTTTGTTATGAATTTTCTTTTCACAGAAAAAAAAAAGAAAGAAAGAAAGCCGCAAATGGTATGCAAACACAGATACACACACACAAGACTGGATCATCAGAGAGTGAGTGAGAGAGAGAAAAAGAAGAGACAATGATGACAAACAAAAAATAATGTGCACATGGTCCAACAAAGCACTAGAATTGATGATGAAAATGTATAAATCCGAGTTTTATTCAGATGGTGTCAGGTCCTTCTCAGGTTCACCTTCATTCAGCAGCTGAAGAAGCAGCTCATGGACTGGCTCAAAAGCTTTCTTGCTGCCAGCATTTGTAAGAAGCAGATAATCATGCATATCGTGATGACTTATTGTGCCATCTGGCTGGATGAATCCCTTATCTATTGCAATCAGTTCTACTTTGGGAATAATCGGAAGTCGACTCTTCAAAATCTCGTTGACCAGATTTATTTTGTCCCTTATTACATTTGGATGTTGTCCCCTTGGTAGCAGGCTCTAAAATGAATGGAAAACCAATTGTATTAACCAATACAACAAGTAATGAATTGATAGATAAAACTCACAGGAACAACAATATATACATCAGGTAACTTTTCTTTGATACTATTGATTATTTCTGTAATCCCATCGACAATTTCCTCGGGAGTGTTTTGATGGTTATTTGTTCCCACATGCAGGACAACTGCCTTGGGTCTCACATTGTCCAATTCACCATTCTGGATGCGCCACAGCACGTTTTGTATTAGGTCCCTATGTATACCAAAATTGAGGCAATGCAACGGTGCGAATAACTCATTCCAGATGTCTGTATGTTGCAGGGCTTGCAGTATAGAATCACCAATGAAAATCACGTCAGCGTCTTTCTCCCTGGTCTCCGACAGGAATCGATTGTGCTACAAAGGATAAGCGAGGATTTCTTTAAAACTGGCAAATGCAGCAACCCATTACATTATTTACAATACTCATCCATCTTTGATCGCCGTCCGGATCTTCGACGGGCAGGGGTTTTGTGCATGGATGCATTTTTACCATGTAAATTTTGAATCACAACACAACAATTTACTACAATCTTCCTCTCGTCCGGTCGAATCACCAAAAAATTGCCCTGAAATAAAACCAACAACAAAAAAAAACCCGGTGGTACCCCCGTACACCAATATTTATATATATATATATATATATATTTGTTAATTGTCAAAAATCAAGAGACATGTGTTTTAAGCGCAAACGCCAAACGGCAATGTTACCAAAAGAACGCATAAGAAAGACCCTAGTCAGGTTACGATCCAATTGGATACTAAATCGCGCATGTTCATATTCAAATTTGATTGTCGGCATATGTGATTTACTAATGGTTTCTTTTGGACTAGATTAAATGTGCAAATATTATTGTATAGAAAATCAATAAACATTTTGTAATTTTCTGAGCATTTACAATTTACTTAATATATGTTTGTTGTTGTTGTTCTATAAATTAATAAGAAACAATATTCAATTATATAAGAATGTCGCGCGCTCCTCGAGAAACTTTTCTTTCTAATTACAATACTAACAAAAAATTCATCGTCAGTCAAATTAACGATTTGAACAGCAAAAGTCGATGCACATTCGATCAAACCGATCAAAACCGAACTATCAAAATCCCGACTATATCGAAAATTTTTACAATAACATTTTTAAATTATTTCGGAGAGTAGTCACCTTGTGCTACATTTTTATTATTAATAACAATAAATTATTATTAATTTATTTGATTTTCTTATATTATTCATAATAAACCTAAACAATAGGAAATAATTTCAAATAGAATTAGATTATTAATTCTACAAAGTATACAATAATGTGTTTGTAGTAAATTATTATTATTTGGAAGTGTTTTTATTTTTGAAAATTAGTAATCTAGAAAGCGATGCAGGTGGTTCACACAAAGTGTATAAGCAATATAATATGGTTCGAGAAGAGAATAATAAAATGAAGAATAACTAGAAGAAAAAGAAGAATGTGAAGAAAAATGAGGAGGGAATGGTGAAAATGCGGCAGTTCAGCGGAACGGACGTTGTGTGGTCTCCCGAGTTCGCCGTTCGCCGACTGATTGATATTATGTACACCTGATTTCGCGGTTAATATAATGTTCTACACGGATTAGATTTTTCATTTAAATTGATAGCGGATCATCACGACTTCCTCTTACGACTTGAATTACATCCACATCAGCGCACCTCGCACCACTTCGACACACGTTAAAAATGCTCATTCCATTGAAAATCATTTCTGCTTCAATGTTACAGCATTAATCAGCGCTTGTCGGCCTAACTGAAAATAATAATAATAACTGCACAGTACCAAATGTTATTGCTGTTAATGACTACTATTTGCTAGTATAGTCGACTTGATTGAACCAAATTGAATAGGGTTTAAATGTTGGAAATGACTGCAAATATGCATTAAAAATTGCGCAACTTACGATGATGATCGTGATGATGATATTATTTATTAAATAATTGGCATGTGTAGCAATAATGGTGGTGGTGATCTAGATTTTTGGTTGAGCAAGCAATGTAGTAGGAGGAGGAGGAGAGGTAGAGACCGGCTTCAGGTGTTGCGGGTGAAATTTCTAAATTTCACGTTTTCATTGTCTCAAAGGATTAGAGCAGACCACCCACCTGGACCAGCAGCACTCGTTGATTGCGCAAGCGGAGCTCCACTCTCTATTTCATTCATTCCTTTTTAAAAGACCGAATCGAAGAATTATTTCAACCGAAAAAAAGAAATGAAAAAAAAAGAGAAATAAGGAACACACATACACAATTTTTTTTTCGGAGAAAGAGATGATACATCGTGCAGAATGTATAGAGAACTTTTTATTTCGATACTTGGAAAAGGGACACTTGTTATCCATAGTGTACATATATACACATATAAAAATGTGTGTGTGTGTGTTTATTGTGTAACCTGCGTGTATTGTTGTTGCATAAAACTGGTGGCACAATAGAATGGACCAACTTGGAATGCGAAAAAATCTCGTCCACTTATTTTATCTGGAACTTCTAATCTAGTTGCCTATTGTGCGAGGACCGCTTCTGAATGAGATAGTAAAATCCCTAGGTGTGAATTCATAAATAACCATTGCGACTCGAGAAGCGTGAAGAAGTTAGAGAGAGAGAGAGAGAGAGAGAGAGAAGGAAAAAGGACTTTTCGTTTTACAAAGACGACGCGACTCGAGTGCTTCGGATTAGGGCATCAGGATGATGACCGTCAGGTGTTAAATACACCCACAACAAGAGTATCAATGGGTTAGCAGAAGAGCGACGCGTTCAAGAGGTCGTAAAAACGTATTCTTCAAATCCGAGTTACACTCTCCAAGAAAACTTTAACTTCAAAAACCCAAAAATAAAGAAAAATTAATTACCGCTAACTAACAATTGCTAACATTTAATGTCGATGTTGCTATGGAAGTAATAAAATATTATGGAAGTGTTCACGAAGAGCAAATGATGATGAAGATGATGATGAAGTATCATCATGGGAGGATGAGTAGAAAACGAGGAGTGTTTAGTGTTTATAGGATATGCTTGAAGCGTTGGAAACAATTGATAGTGTAAATTATTGGTGGTATTAGTCGTAGTCGTAGTCGTAGCACCACCAAACAAACTAAATATCTTCTTCGTCAAGTCGTATTGTTCCGTTCCGTTCTGTTGCATATCAAATACCATAACAGGGCTAGGTCTCTTTCTCTCTCCGTCTCCCTGTCTCTCTCTCTCTCTCTCTATCTCCACATGTAAGTGTTTACCGATTCCGCCGATAACCATTACATTGTTTTTGCACTTGACAATAATATATACACAGCGTTCATCTCGTCGCGGGTGTGATATTAGTGTGATTTTATTGCTCTCATAATATTTGTATTTTCTATTTCTCTGCCGCTGCCACGCCATCGACCATTCTTTTCCGTGAAGAGCGCGCGGTGATATAATAAAGCGCAATTAAAGTGGGTCCCAGGTACGACAGTGATATATTAGTTTCCTCATTAAATTCTGAAACGCTAATGTGGGTCAAGAGCCGCTGTTGCGCGGGCCACGACAACAATTATTATTATTACAAACAGCACCGCACGAAACATAGACTCGCAAGACCCGAGACACAGACAGGCAGAACCTGACCATCCTTCGGTGCACTTTTAAATTTCTTCTTCTTCTTCTTCTTTTTTTCATAATTAGCTTTGAACTTATTGAGAACGATTACAATCATTTCATTTACTAAATAAAACAAAAAACTCAATGTTGGCAAAGTATGATAAAATAATATTCAAACAAGAATTACATCAAATATTGATTTAATGCAATACGGTTTCTTTTTTAATTTAGTCCGAGATTCTAATCACCCTAGTATCTGTTTTTGTGATGAAGGCGACCATAGGTTTTCTTTAACGGAATTAAGTATTTCAAAACATTCTTTTCTATCTCCTGATTATCCTCGCCTACCCAGTCGCTACCGGCCTCTGTCGGTCAATCCGTCGAAGCTCCTGTTCACCGCACACTAGAATCTCGTTCCTATACGCAAACTAATAATATAAATAATAAACGTATTAGGATAAAATTGCTACAAGTTGATATGTTTTTCGAAGCTTTTAATTAGTTTCGATCCAATAATTGGGTGTTAAGTATGTTATTGTTGTTAGTAGTTTTGAAGAAGTTTTCGGTCTAGTGATGCAGTCGAAAACTTTTGATCCGGCCACCGGATAATAATAATAATAAGTCTACTTATTATCATTTGGAGTAGTTTGGAAGAATAAAAAGAGCATTACACGGCTCGTTGGATCCATTGTGTTCTACCACCGTCCATCGAGCACTCCAGATTCTTCAACTCTCGTCAATCGCCACTCCGTATTGTTCTTTCTTTCTTCGTTTCATTCATTCATTCCTTCTTTCTTTCTTTCTTTCTTTCTTACGTTGAAGCACTAAATGGGATGACGTCGTGTCCGTCTCAGCGTGACCGCAAGGGTGCAGCCGAAACCACCATCACCGGTAGCTACTGCAAGCAACCACTGACATAGGCAATATTGACCAATCGATCAATTCTCGCTCGATTATAAAGTTGCTGATGATTATACGCTACGATTATAGGTTGGGTTCGTTGGGCGCGAGTGCGTGCGAGCGTGCGTTATGATTTACTTAATACAATTTTATAATGATGTTGATAATAATAATAATAATAATAAACACGACTGCAGCCGGCAACCGCAGATCACGATGAAAGTGTTTCTGCCTTATTTCGAACAAAGTCAAATGAATCCAGAGAGAGAGAGAGAGAAAGTGAGAATATGTGTGAGAGAGAAGGACAGAGCGAGAGAGAGAGAGAGAGAGAAATTGAAAGATCAAACTGAGATCAATTATGCAAGAGGAGTCCAATCGTGAGCGCCTTTGATCCTCATTCACGTTACGCAAAACCTTGTCAACCCATCAAAACGTAACAAAAGAGGTTGAATTCAATTGTTTCCATTTCTGTGCTTGATAATTAATTATATCTTATGGCATAAGACTTTCAATCTATATTTTATTTTAAATTTAAATTTCGATTTTTTAACTAACCAGCAGCAACATGTTGAACAAAGTTGAACACATTAGATTTCCATGTATAAAAATATTGGCGGTGATTCAAGCGAGAGCTCCTTAGCATTCTTAGTGATATTTATCGGAATTTAATTGCAGTTCATTTACTTATTATGTATGATACGTAATAATGTTTGCGGTGTGTCGGGTCAAGTCGAACGATTATCATAAAACATATCATTCAATTAGCATTCCGCATTTATCAAATGGTCAGGCAAGCAGCCAGGCTGGACGCAAACCGACACTCTGCAACAAAATAAGAACAATAAACGTAAGACGAATAAGAAATATATATATATATATATATATAGCATTATCCGCATAGATACTCGCAATTTCGCCCACGTCACCTAATATATATATATATTATATATGGAAGGAATTCAGGATCTGATGTCCCTGAAAAAAATATATTCTTTTGTATTGTTATATATAAGTAGACATATGTTTTTTTTGGAAAATGTTATAGGTATTGTCGCTTGGAAATGATCTAATAAAATTAAAAAAAAGTTCTTCAATTGAAAAGGATCGCGCACCGAAAAATTTAGTTTATATTGTGCAAAGACG